ATGCATGGATGCATGCATGCATGGATGGATGGATGCATGCATGCATGGATGCATGCATGCATGGATGCATGGATGGATGCATGCATGCATGCATGGATGGATGGATGGAATCAAGTGCACATGCAGCCATGCTGTACTCACTGTTATTCATGCTCAACGTTTTGAATCTTAATGTGTTTGTTTCCCCCTGTGCTCGTCTGCTCAGGTGGTGACGGGTGTCGGACCCTGCCATGGCGCGGAGGAGGCTGAAGCTCGTTGTGATGGTGATCATGATGGTGAACTTCTTCATCTTCATCATCATCTCCCGACACAGCAGCCAGGACAAAAACGGCCTCAACAAGGTCCGCATCCCCTCCAAACCGTTCTGGTCCAAGCTGGTCCCCAAATCGGCGTACTGCAACCGCCAGCAGCAGGTTCTGGACCTCCAGAACAACCCGGTCCTGGCGGCTAACTATAGCACGGCGGTTGTGGCCGATTGGCTGAATGACACCAGTTTGACGTCGTACCCGTGCCAGCCTAACTTTAAGGTCACCACTCAGGTGAAAGAATACAACTCCCTGCCGGTCCGCTTCAAGGACTTCCTGATCTTCATGCACTGCCGGTCGTACCCGATCATTGTGGACCAGCCGGGCATCTGCAAGGAGCCGCCGTTCCTACTCCTGGCCGTCAAGTCGCTGGCGCCGCACTTCGACCGCCGCCAGGCCATCCGCCAGTCGTGGGGCCGGGCGGGTGTGGTAGCCAATCGGACGGTGGTCACCATCTTCCTCCTCGGCAACGCCACTCCCGGGGACCACCACCCGGATCTGTCCGGGATGCTGCGCTACGAGAGCGTCCGTCACAGAGACATCGTCCAATGGGACTACAGGGACTCCTTCTTCAACTTGACCGTCAAGGAGGTTCTGTTCCTGGAGTGGATCCAGACCCGCTGCGCCGGAGCTCGCTTCGTCTTCAAAGGCGACGACGACGTCTTCGTCAACACCTTCCGCATCCTGGACTTCCTCGGGGGCCTCTCGGAGCCCAAAGCCAGGGACCTGTTTGTGGGCGACGTGATCACGAACGCGGGGCCGCACAGGGACAAGAAGGTGAAGTACTTCATCCCGGAGAGCATGTACGTCGGGATGTACCCTCCGTACGCGGGTGGAGGCGGGTACCTGTACTCCGGCGACATCGCCGCTCGCCTCCACAACGTGTCGCGACAGGTGGCGCTCTACCCAATAGACGACGTCTACACGGGGATGTGTCTCAGGAAGCTGGGGCTGGCCCCCGAGAAGCACAAGGGCTTCAGGACCTTCAACATCGAGGAGAAGTACCGGTCCAACCCGTGCGCCTACAAGAGCCTGATGCTGGTTCACCCGAGGACGCCGCAGGAGATGATCCAGATCTGGGCCTGGCTCAGTAACCCCGGTCTGAAGTGCCAGTGACAAACGTTTTATTTTAGAAACAGGGTCGTGACTTCAGAGTTGGCAGCTTTAAGTTGAGATGTTATAACGGTCGCTCGGAGGACTGATTTCAACGTGACCACCATAGTATTTGTTTGACTGGATGTCGAGCTGAACCCCGCTTCACTGTCCGAAAACGAGCTTCACCCAAAGTGGCCGTGTCTTTTTCTCTGCGTGCACATATTTATATCACAACTATTTATATGGCCTTCGTAATGCTTTAACACTGTGTGTGTGTGTGTGTGTGTGTGTGTGTGTGTGTGTGTGTGTGTGTGTGTGTGTGTGTGTGTGTCCGCGACGGAGCACCTCAATGCTGTATTATAGAATAAAGAGACTAAAGAACTGGGATGTGTCCACCTGGGAGTCTCTGTTGAAAAACATTTCAAAATAAGAGAGAGGACTTCTCAAACGCAGCATTATTAAACGGTCCAGTGGGTCCTACATGCTTCGGTTTCTTCCTGTTGGCTTTAGAGGAGCTTCCTGGTGAACACGTCCTGGTGAAGTGTAGCTGGAGGCTCAGTCTGTGCTGCTACTCCCGTCCACACTCCCTAAAGTATTTACTCGTGACTCGCTCCGACTACAAACTAAACCAGCTCCTCCTCACAAAGAGCCTCGCTTTGTGTTCATGTACAAACCGTTCATCTGGAGTTTATTTCACCTTAAACTTGGGATTGTCCGTAGAGCTTCTAGATGTTCTGGTGGAGCGAACGCACGCTTCGCTTTCAGGAAAACAGGAATGTGAGTCCGGCTCAGCAGGTCTGGGCTTGGTTTAGACAGAGAAAATCCAAATGCTGTCTGGTTGTGCTTCAGGTTTCTCGCTTTATACACAAACAGAAAAGACAGAGTGCTCAAATGAACCAAACGTGCATCTTCAGAGATATACTCGCTTTAACGTGATCGTGCTGCTGTGTGAACGTGTTGAATGCTGTTAATCGTTGCTTTACTGTTGAATCGGAGCGATTTAAAGCACACGTGGAACTTCTTCAAGCTACTTCAGCTCTTCTTTTACTTGACGAACGGTTCATTCGGCTTCATTTCAAAATGTCTCTGTTTGAGGAGGAGATCACGTGTTGTCGTCTCTGTTTTACCGACTTGTTCGCTGATGAAGCTTTAAACCGTGTTCATGTTTGAAGGTCTGCTCGGCTCACTACTGTACGGCTTTTAGTCCCTTAGAGAAGTGCTGCTCATTGTTTGTTGTGATGTTACAGGTCTCAGTGAAGGAGATGTGGTTTTGTGTTCCCGTTTGGAAACAGGTCAGAGAAGTGCGTTACATGAATGTGTATCTTTGTGTGTAGTTCTTCAGTATTGACACTCAGAATGTCCGTTAAAGAGAAGTCAGTCAGACCCTCAGACGGCCTCTGTTGGAGCTCCCCCTGCTGGTCAGGATGCTGAAATTTAGCATCACACGCTGACGACTCCACGACCCAAAGCTCTTGACCTACTTTATTGTTCTGTTCACGTTTTAAACCAAACATTCGTTATCTCTCCAATTTACAGCAGCATGTCGCTCCTGCTAGTGTTACTGTAGTGGGACAATACTGTGTTTTTGTGGTCACCTTTGGTGTCGGAAGAAAAACAAAGAAAGTTAAAAAGACAATCACAGTTGGGTCAATTTAGTCCTTTTTCTGGGATTACATGCTGACTGGACACAATTTAAAGAGTCCATGTAGGATCAAACAAACACTAAAAGAGAACGAGAGGGAGCAGGAGACGAGGACAGAAGCATCATGTATCCTCAATAATATATATCTATCATATAATAAGTCACACTCTGTTCATGTGGCTACTTGAATGATGTTTACATGCTTTTAACAAGTCCTCACTTACTGATTTTCTTTTTAGAATTGGCTGATTATTGGACTTTGTAATTTAGCTTCACAATTATTCTCATTTTCTTTTCTTTGTTTTACATCCATCATGTCTGGACAGTCAGTGTTTCTCTGGTCTCATTTCATGTTTCTGAGCTTCTGTAGATGTTGTTTTCGAGGGCAGAACAAGAAACGCATCATATTTACATCGATATGAAGTGAAATGTATTAATCAACACGACAGGGAAACTGAATCCACACGACGCGATAAATGCACGAGTGTTTGGGCCTTTACTCATCCAGGATCTTCTGTTGTTACCCAGAGAAGATGAATACTTTGATTACCACTTTCACGCGCCTTCAACTCATAGTTACAAGTATTTCACAATACTTCAGATACTTTAATACTTTCTGAAGAATTATGTGTGTGTGCGTGTGCGTGTGTGTGTGTGTGTGTGTGTGTGTGTGTGTGTGTGTGTGTGTGTGTATATATATGTATATGTGTAGGACCTGCACTATTCAGAGTTCATTACCAAATCTGTATGTGTGTGTGTGTGTGTGTGAGTGTGAGAGAGTGTGTTTATCCATCAGCCGTGTTAAGTGTGATCGCTTTTTTTTTTTTTTAAATGCCTAGAATGACTTGATTATTTCAATAAAGCTGTATTTTGCTGTTTTTGTCTATATGTCCTTGTTTATGCATTTTTATTGTAATACAAATAAATTATGTGAAGTAAACGTTCAGTTGATTTGTTCATACTCATTTCTTTTTTGTTAAATGCTATTTATTTAATTTTAATAAACAAAAGTCAGAAAAACACACTTTTGTTCTCTATGGAAACATCGTACTAAAGCATCACAGTGGACATAAAACTGGAGAATAATCTGTTTTATTCTACATCTATTATATCTATTATATTATTATATAACATCTCATTCATATGAACTGGTGCAGTGGACGCATCTCACCAGCAGAGGGCAGCAGTGTATAAACACTGAGTCCACGTTCCATAAACACCGAGTGTAAACTAAAGGTCTTTAGTGGAGAAAGAGGGTTTTTTCCCACAATGCAATGCATCCATTCTGCAGTATTTGGATACTTGATTGTGTTAAACACTTGGGTCAGGTTTCAACATTTTATTTTGAAAATACCATCATAAAAACAATTCTTTCAGTTTTAAAAGGACAGATTTAAATAAATGACTCGTAAATATTAATGTTGTTTCCTTAACTTTAAAACAAATTCAATCATTTCCTGTATTTATAGATTGATCTTTGATTGTTGTTTCTATACTTCTCTTTGTGTTGTCCTTTTTGTTTATTGGATTATTTAGTTGTTTGTTTTGTTGTGGTAAAAACAGCGTAATGGTAAAAATGTGATTTCAGACGGACTCTTATTTTGAAAGGGAGGCTGCAGCTTCAGTGCCTTGCTCGGCGTCACGTCAGCAACAGTTTGAATCCGACACCTTGAACAAGACTCTATGAGGCGGATGCTTTCAGTCTCTCCTAATATTCAGTGTCGTTACAAAAGCAGCATTCTAGACTCTTAACGTGATTGTTTTTTATCGTTCCTTTAAATGTGTGTTTTAAATACCTGAAGAGTGAAACGGTTATTAATCCGCTGCTGAAAATAGTCCCCGACAAATGTTATTTAGTCAAGTTATTAATTTATTTATGTATTGTGTTGTACACAATGACAGGGAAGCAGTTATTGGGAATTAAAATCTTAAAAACAATTATTTAAATATGTAAAGAAAAAAAAATTAAGTAATGCAATTAAAATATAAAATTAAAATAATTTAAATTTGTGGCAGACAGAAATTGCAAATTAAATAAACTTGTTAGTGATGTAAATAAATATATTTTCTATAAAGCTCCGATTGTCACTGATGACACCTGAAGCTTCTGAAACTCCACCCGCCTGGTTCTCCCTGCAGGATAAAACAAGCTGCTCTCTGAGTCATTGCACCACTCAGCTCTTTTCCACTTTTCTCCTCCAGCAACAGAAACACTATTTACTAAAAGTTCGTCCAGTTCCACTTTGTCAAGGCTTCTCTCTCTTCCTCTAATTAGTTTTATTTGAATCAGTTTAAACTGAACGCTTGTTCTTAAATGGAGATAATGTCTGTTTCAAATGAAGGAACATTGTTTTGTTTTTGTTTAATAAATGATCTGTTTTAGAATTGTTGTTGCAGAAAACAAACTTCTTCCAAATTATTTTGATCTCACTTCATAATCCTGACAGTATTTGACAATAAACACCACTGCAATCTATATTTTAGTGAAGTAAAGATGAAGAAAATTAAATATAAAAACCTCAGAAGCGCATTAAACCAGTTTCTGGTCCCTCAGGCCTCCTGTTAATGGAGAAGAATCTAAAGATCTGACTGTGAAAAGTGATCTTAGAAGCCGACCACATCCTGACTCTCGGATGGCGTCACCGTCAGCTCGCTGCCAGGAAGCCAGAGGATGAACCAAAGCTTCTGGGAAATAGATGGGAGCAGAGATTCTCACACACACACACACACTCTGATCTGTACTTCAGTCTCAGGAGGTTTCACTTCCTCATCTGCCATTGAAATGAATAAAACGCCGTCTCTTTCTCACCTACTATCTATCTGACACGTATGCAAACACGTTTTAAAGCTCTAGACTCTACTTAAAGCCTCTGGCATCAACTGGAGCCTGCAGATAAAGACAGAAGAAGAGTGAGCTGGAGTGAGACGTCAGTATGCACTCTTCTGAACACCGGTTTGCATTTTCGCGAGATCACGAAAAAATTCATCCTGTCGGGCTTCAACTAATCCGTTTTTTGTCCGGTTAGCCAGAGCACGGACCAATCGGCATCCTCTGAGGAGCTACCGACAGCTGTGGGCGGGGCTTAAGTGTGGGTACTGAAGAGGTTAGCGTAGCTGTGATAGCATCAGTTGTATCAGAAGTGGAGAGAACAACAATGAAAGATGTTTTCTCGATGTAAAAAGATGTTTTCGCTCTTCTCCCGCCTTGGAAACAGTTTCCACGTCGTCTTCTCAGGCTACATCCACACTTCTACGTTTTCATTTTAGAACACATCTTTTCTTACGTTTACGCCGAGCGTCCACACTGCAGCCTGCTGCTGATCCCACGAGTTAGTTTGAAAACTCCGGGGTTGAGTCCCAGTGCGGACGGGCAGAAACGGAAGCTTGTTTGTGGGTAAATCTGCTTCTTGTTTGCAATTGCATGCCCTGTGCACACGATCGGTCATGTGATATGCGTGTGATATCAGGTGTGTCAGTATCTCAATCAGCGCTAAAGCCAACGTATCCAACGTGTCCAGCAGAATTCAGTCTTTTCAAAATAAACTTCCGTCTTCACAGGAAACAACTTTTTTGTTTCACACGGGGCACTAACAGAGGTCTCCTGAGTGAAAGTCCTTTTGTTTGACCCTGTGCTCTCTGTACATCCTGGATTACATACACATTGAGTTTGTGTGATTTCTACTAATTACAGCGCATTTATTTTGGTAGGTAAGCTTCAAACGCTGTGTGAGAACAGCCTGGAGATTGTTTTTTGTTGTTTTGAAGCTTGTGGATGTAGCATCAGACGGTTCTGGCCGGGCAGGTTAACGTTCCTGCAGCACATAGAGCAAAGAAAAGGGACGTTTTCATGTGTGAAATTATATCACACTGATCTTTAAAATATGTTTCACCTTGCACCTTTATATTCTTAAAAGCTTTGACATTTTGTGAATACGCTCGAGAAACGTCCTCTAACAGACTAACAGACTCTCATTCCTACGAACAAAGATGTTGGAAAGGGATTTTTTTTCATTTCATTTTTCCGAACTGGAACGAGCTCCGTGGAGGAAACAGTCGGTCACAGTGAGCGAGGAGGTTTTCGTCAGGAGGATGTGACATGGAGGCAGTGAGTCACTTCTCTGATCCACATCTCCTCTTCCTCCATTTTACATCACAGAAACGCAGGAAACATGTCTGTCAGTTGATGTTTGAAGGACAGGTAGAGGCTTTTATAGCCAACAGATGCTCTGTTTGAGATTCTGTCTGAGATTTCTGCCATTAACGCCTCGATAGTTGGAAATCAGTTCATCTGTGGTGCTCGCAGCATTAAAGAATCGCGTTACAACTTGTCCATAATAAGAGTGCACGTTCCTCTGGATTATCCAAAGGTTTGTTTGTTTTTGTGTCACTAAGAAATAAGAAGAAAAAGATCAGCTAGCATGAAGAATCGTAGTAAAACAAGTGTTAATACTTAACATGAGGTGTGAACATTATATACAAATATACAAAAACAATACATACACTAAGTTAACAGGGGTGTTAGTGTGTTAAATGTACATAATGTGCAAAGATAAGTCCGATACAAACTGTGTTTTCATTAAATACACAGTGGGAATAATCATAGTTTGCAACAAACTTATACAATAAACATCAACAACAAACAACCATAAAGAAACAGTTTCAATGTTCTCTGTTGTCTCAATAAAAACATAATCATCAGGGGGAAGAATAACCACTAATTCCAGTCATAAAACTAATGATCCCGCTGAAACACAGGCCGTGTTTACTCTCTGAACGGTTCAACATGAAGCACTTTCTGCTACCAGGAGGGAGAGAAGAAGCAATTTACTGCAACGCTGTGTGAGAGCGTCCTGAAGGTGGAGGGAGTTATGATGGATGATGCTCCCTCCCTGCTTTTAATGAGCATGCAGCTCTTCCACTCCGTGTCTCAGAGGGAGGAAGTCGTGCTCTAATTCTCTGCATCCTTTTGGGGGGAAGAAGAGAAACACGGACCAAACGGAAATGATGGAGAATTAGAAATGTGGATTAATGTTATTAATGTTGTGCTGCAGGTCAGATTTCTTTCATTAATCCAGACGATTGATAGCAGAAGGACTCGTTAAACATGCTGATCCAGGTCCTCGAGAGACATTAAAGGGTCTGAACTCTACAGCCAGATGAAGAGCTGCATGAAGCGTCCTCCATCATGGGAGGGTTAAGAGTGGAAGGCCCCCCCCCCCCCCCCGACTCTACTACAGAGGAACACAGCACCTCATAGTGTTCTGTGTTTATAGGTGGTGGTGGTGTTTGAGGTCATTACACATCTATCTGTGGTTTTGTGTCTCTTTGTATTTATTTAGTGAGTCTATGTAGTTGTTGTGGTCTCCTTGTTGTTGTTTTGTTTGTCTTTAAAGTTGTTTTGGTGTATCTTTGTAATTGTTTTGTCTTCGCAGTTGTTTGGTGTCTCTTTGTTGTTGTTTTGACTCTTTGTGGTTCATTTGTGTCTCTTCGTAGTTGTTTGTGTGTCTTTGTAGTCATTTTGAGTCTCTATATATCGACCAGTTGTATATAAATGTAATTTGTAGGTTGACTCCATCTTTCATCAATAATCAGCTGACTCTACCAGATTGATGAAGATGTCTTGAGGGTTAGAGTTTGGGTGACCTGACATTTCTGCACCAGGTTAATGAATCATTGATTAACAAAAAACAAAACAAAAACACATATTTCCTTCTGATGACTTTGGGGTAAAGTTAAGAAAATTGTAGTCTTGGATCTGAAGTGTTTGCTTTTCACAGCGTCTGTTCATTTCCCTTCTACACTCTTATATTTATTGATGATTAGATGGAAAATTCCCCTAAATATCAACTCATTTTCATCTTAATTCTTCTCTCAGTGCAGCTCCCTCCTTCTGCCTCATCCCTATTATCTGTGAACACTCTCCTCTTTCGTCTCCTCTCC